AGGAGAGAGAGGGTGTCAAGCCGCTGTCAAAAAGCAGGCGACAAAATTTGTCTGCTCGGTGATGATTCCAACTTCACTAATACTCGTCCAATATGTTAGATTAAGCTCATCAACCAAACCAAACGTGCCAGACTACGCAGCCCCAGGCATGCATTTCCTTGGGGGGTTGAACTAGACTGACCAACCCTAGACTGAGAGGTTTGTACTAGTGGTTTCGTAACTTGACTTACGTGCTTACATGCTTATATCTCATTATCTCAACTATTCTTGCTTACGGAATTACACAGTCTAGGTCAGGGCTTTCTCTTGGGTCATTAAGCCTTGATGATTAGAGCCTGAAATTAGTCTTTTGATAACTCTGATTTAGCACCGCTATTGTGTATAGACGCTAACACTCACACATACATACACGCACACACTCGAGCAAAAGTAGCAGGACCAGTATGAAAGATAATTAGCTGAACAACTATAAAGCTATCTGTATAGGGTATTAATTTTCTTTTGGCTTAATTGAATCTATATAATATGTAAGATAGAGCCGAATAGTTTTCTTGCCCTAGTCTCACGACTTTTACAGGAATGAGACCCAGTTCTGATGGTGTACATCATATGATGGACGAAAGCTCAGTTCGCTTTTACCCGAAACTAGGGAGGAGGACTCGTGGCATGCGTCAATCTGAACGTTGCCTAAAAGCCAAACAGCTGCAGTACAACGGGATTCATCTGTCCTCTTATGGTGAGATCGACCTACGAATCTATTCTTCGTGCACTTTCACTCAAAATTAAAGTCCTCCTAACACTGCAATCTTAAGCGATTCATCGAAACCCAGTTTCTCTTCGTATCTGAATGTGTTGAAACAAAAAGTGGTCTGCACCATAGCATTGCTGAGCGTTTTTAGCCGAGCTTGATACCCCGTATATGTCGGCATGTCGAAATTTGGAATACGCTAAATACTGTTGTATTTAGATAGATTCTATATTGCTACTTTTGGGTTCAAATAAGTTACATGTTATAATTAATAGAATAGTTCTGTGTATTTAATAAGCTACAAATTGATAGAGCCGAAATTGAATTCGACAAAATAGTATATATTTGGCCAAATATATCAAAGCAATTAATGGTTTACATCATAGCCATCCTAGGATTTCCTGACTAAGCTTTGAAACCTGTATATATCCGAGAGTTATGTTAAACCAAATAAATCAGTAAGTTGGCTATTCGCTTGTCCCTCCTGCATATGGAAAAAGTAAAAAGGGAATATTGTAATAAAAATAATGATAAATGTCATGTTACTTTAAATTTAAACTAATTAATAGAAACAATATATGGAATTAGCTAGCCTGCAATTATCACCAGGGCCAGGATGATAATAAGAGGAAGTAGTCGAGTAGTACAAAGAATCAAGCGCAAGGGAGGCAAAATAGTGGATACTAGGTGTGTAGAAAAACTGGGTTTCGAAGTCGATACTAGGTCTAATTTATTAAAACAAATAATGTTCTGTATCTTAGCCATGTTGGGAATTTTTGAACAAGCTTTCAAACTCATATGCCCTAAACTAATGCTAAACTAGAAGAATCGGTGGGCCCTGCCTGTTTGTAGAAATGTTGAATATACTAATTATGGTATTATTAGATAATTAGTAAAAAAGATATGAACGCTATATTCTACCGAAAATTCCGTGCTACTTTCAAGTTCAAAAAAGTAGGATATGTAAATAAAAGAAGTGGTCAATATACCATCATCATGAAGCGATAATTAAAGCTAACCAGAATAAAATGAGGCAAGACAATAGATACCGGGTCAAATGTATTAAAACAAAATTTGGACTGCACTATTGCCATTCAAGGAATTTTGGGCTGAGCTTCACAACCAGCATAAAGTTTATGCTAGACCAGAGGAATCAGTGGACTCAATGTTTACTTGCCCTGCTTGCGCTTCGAAATGGCGAATACACTGAATACTGTAATATAATATAATAAGGAATATAAAACAGAATATACTCGGTCAAGTGACTCAAGGCAAATAATGTTTTGCTTCATTTTATGCTTGATTACCTATTGCACATGTGAAGCTAAATCTCTGGATTATATTTGAGTAATAATCTAAACAATTCAGGCCCCAAAGTGCTTATAGAGTTCTTTATTTTTTTATTTCCTGATCAGGTTTCATTGATTTTTTTTATAGCGTATTTGTTTTTGCTTTTTGTTTGTTATCTTTTGATTCTTCTTTATTTGAAATGAATGTTAAGCACTGATATACTTTATTAAGGAAAACACGTACAAGAGCAGTTTTATTGCCTTTTATTTATTATGCTGTTTAGAGTCTTTTAAACAAGTACAGTTTTGGAGCTTGACCATTTTGAGCATTCAAGTTTAAATAAGTAGCAAGTAATAACTAATAGAAGCGGTCAGGCTGCTATCACTACTACGACTGTCTCTATGCCGTAATGATGACTATGATAAGCATTATAATGTATCAAAGACTCAAAAATATTCAATATATACTCATTAAAATGATTCATGCTACTTGCAAGCCTAAATAAGTAGCATATATCATTTAAAGAAGTGACAAGCCAGCTAACATTGATATAATCCGAATTAGCATAAAATGTAATGGGTGTGTGGAAATAAAAGAGAAGATACTTTGTCAAATGTATCAAAGCAAATAATGGACTGCATTGTGATCATTCTAGTATTTTTTTGCCATTATTCTCAACCAGTATATGCGCAAGAGTTGCGCTAGACCAGAGGATTTAATGTGTTCGCCGTCTATTTGTCCTACCTGCTGGCCAAAATGGTGAATATACATTAATAATTTAAGATATAATAATAATTAATATTGTGCTATATTATAA